ATAATATTATATCATTGAATTCAAATTTAATACCATTCATTACAGCGACCTACTATTATTGTAACCTACTGTCAGCCTGGTCTGGCCGAACACAAGCCAAGCCCCACATTTTAAAATACCTAATCAGAAATCTAGGTTTTTATGTTTATAAATATATAATTTATTAATATTAATATTTATTAATATTTTATAATATTACATACTTATTACTTATTAGATAATATTTTAATTTATTATTTCACCATTGTAATATTAATAAATATATATTTTATACCAGCAGCGGCCCACCTGGAAATTTCCCGGTATCCCGGTCGTCCAGTCCGCCACTGCAACCAATAACAAAATAATATTTAACAATAGTTATTCAATACATTTTGGAAACAAATATTATTAATATTTACTAGTTAATGGATAGTTAACATAGATATTGACATAATTTAAATGAAATGTATAGTATCAACATTCAATATTACTCTTGGTTAAGTTGTAATTAATTAATATTAGTGTTTGTTTRTACACAAAACAAGACAAGGTCCAAGATTTACTAGAATATTTTTGATCATTCAACGCAATAACTAGGAAATAACAGTAATTGATCTTAAAAGCAAAAATATTAAACTAAAGTTATCCCCTTTAACTTTTTTGTTATCTACACTAATTATAGGTAGATTGGATAGTGTATGTATTGGATATGTGTAGTATTTTATTATATGTAGTGGGATTGCAAAGGGAAAATTAATTCTGGCCTCTGAAGTTCACTTTTCCAAATAGATATGTGCATAAATATAACCATCGACCAACTTGTTGAACTTAATTGATATAATGAATTAATGACCTTCAAATGAGAGAATATACCGCTGTATTTTCTTTCAATGAACACAGGTACATAGTGTACGAACCTTGAATAATATTCTAAAATAAATTTAATGTACTTGGAAGTAATATTTAGAGTCGCAGTGAGCATGTGAGATCAAACTATCCTTTGAAAAATCTTCATACTTTGACACTTGACAACAAGTGAATTCAATTTGTGAATGAGTCAAGGGTAAGTTTTTATTTATTTTATTTTAATTTTGTAAACACCTATCTTATATATAGAATGATGTGTGTCTGTTTTTTTTTACCAATGAATATGAAAAAAAAAATCGGTTTTCAACTCGTAAGTGTGGTTTCTGGTAGAAAATTAATCTGGTTAGAAGTTTTGAGACGTCAAAGTTAAAGCTTAATAGATATTATGTTTCAAAATAACAGACAAACGAAACTCAACGAAAGACTAAATAAGATTAAACGCTAATTATTATCTAAAATAAGTTTTTGTCAAAATCTATGTAATTTTTTTGATGAAACTCAAAAATTAAGGGGCAAAATCCGTAAATATTGAGATTTATACATAATATTAATGTAACCATTTTCCATAAAATATAAAAATGTTCGTATTTTATTGATAGTTATTGATAGTTATTTATAAACACGTATAATTTCAAACTTTTTTGAAAAATTATTTCTCATAACTTGTTTATATACCAAGTAAAAAATTTCTAAAATACATAGTAGGTAGGACGTAGCTGGTACGCGYTTAAAGTTAGAATTCTAACAAAATTCATCAAAACYATGAAAATTTGACAACTATTCTAGGTTAGAAATTCATAAAATAAAAAGTATAGTTGTATGARAAAATTTTCATTTTTTTATTTTTCCCTATTTAATTTTGTATAATCGTGATATTCAAATTATTAGTATAACACTCGTCAATTAAACAAAGAATAACAGTGTTAGTTATTTTTCGTAGGAATTTAACACTTAAAACATAAAAGTATCATGTTATCATATTTTATTTTATATTTATATAACTTAATGATTCAAATTCAACTTTTTATCAAAAGTTAATTCAATCTACAGCTGATAAATTACTTAAATAGTAATATTAATACATCATAAAATATACCTAGGTATTT